CGGACCGCCGGAACGGAGCGGGGGGGTCCCGGGCGGCCGGGGCGGAGCGGGGGGGCCCGGCCCTGGATGGCAGCGTTCCCCGGGAGCCCGAGCCCGGCTCCGGGGTGCGGGACAGCCGGGGCGCCCCGGGGGCGGCGGGGGGGCGGCGCGGCGGCTCCCCGGGGGCTGGGGCCGGGCCCGGGCCCCGCGGGGCTGTGGTTAATGTGTAATTCGGAGCATATGGTATTTTCCAAAGGCGGGCAGTTGTGCGGAGCCCGGGGGCCGGGGCCGGGGTGCAAATAACGCTGGATGACTCGCGGGGCCGGGCGCGGAGGGCTCCGGTGATGGGCTCCTCGCTGGCTAATATTTGCTCTTCAAATATTTTACTTGAAAGGTTTACAACGTTGTTTTTTTTTTTAATCTTCCAAGAAGGGGCCATCTGTGCCGGTGCCTCGTCTGGAACACACCGGGGACTCCCCGCCGGGCCCAGCCGCCACCCCGGGGGCCGCCTTCTATTTGTTCAGCACCCRAAATAAATTAAATCGATGTAATAAAAGCGAAGGTGGATTTATGATTGGATCCCATATGTCCCTGTTTGCTCTGCGGGACAGACGCGGGAGCGAAGCCCCCTCGGGGGGCTCGGGCGGGATCCCCGGGGATGCTCCGGGACGCGGCGGGGCCGTGCTGTCCGCCGGCCGCTGGTGCTGAAACCCCGGCGCTCACCCGGCACCGCCTCCGTGCCCGGCCCGGGGCACCCCGAGCCGTCCCCCAGCCCCGACGGATCCCTCGGGCCGGGTGTGTGCTGGGCGCGGTCCCATCGGGCCGCCCCTTCCTCCCCATCCTCCTCTCCCTCCTGCCGTGACATCACGGCCCCGCTCCGGCACTGAGGCGGGACTGCCAGGGCGATCGGCTCCGGCTCCATCGCGGCTCCACAGGTACCTCCCTGCCCCTCCCGGCCATCTCTCCCCGCGTGTAAAAGCTGCAGGAAYTGGTGGTGAAGGTGCTTTAACCTTTGGGGTGCCCCCGGCAATTCCCGGCTCCAGATTCTCCGCGCTGCACAGGGACCGAGCTCATCCCGGGTCCAGGATTCCTCGGCACGGCCCAGGAGGGACCGGGGGCTCCCAGCTCGGCTTTCCCAGTGCTCCCATTTCCCTGTGGGGAAAGAAATCCCGGTGTCAGCTCCGGCACAGCACGGGCCAAGCCAAGGAATGCTGCGGGGGCTGTGTGTGCCCCGAGGGGACGTGTCCTGTTCCTTCCTTCTCTCCTCTCCTSCTYCYCTYYTTCCYGGAGCATCCTGCTGGATCCCAGCTCCAGGGCGAGCCATCCCTTCCCTGAGCAGAGGGAGATGCGTTTGCACCTCAGCCTTGCTCCCATGTGCGGGAACCCTGCGGTCTGGTCCCTGCTGCTGCTTTTATTTTGCTTTYCCTGAATTTCACCGAGGGTCGGTGTCTCCAGACAACTCCTCAGGCTGTGCGGGGAAGAGGTGTCGCGGGATTTGGGGACTGAGGAAGGGAAAGCCCCGCTCTGGGGATGTCTGGGGGG